AATAATATTGGGAATCAAATTTGATTTTCCCAATATAATAGTTATTCGGCACGAAGTGCCGAATAACTATTAATTATCTTTGATACATTTTTTAATGAAATTTTCGGTGCCTGCAACCAAATCTTTGTATAGATTTATCGGCCCTATAATTTTGTCACTTCGTTTGTGTAGATACTCCATAGCAACGCACGCGTCTTTGAGGATATGAGCTTCATTTGGCCAATGAATATTTTCTACGACTGGATTAGCGGAAATCTCTGAAGGCCATGACAAATCTAAAGAAAATTCGCAATTTCGAATCTTTAAAGAATCAACTTTAATCATTTGGTCACTCGAATTTGTTTAGTATTAGGCTTATATTTCTTTTCTTCCAAATCTGAACTGTAGTCTTTTCAATTAAAAGTTCAACTGTTTGTTGTTCTTCATCAAGATAACAAGGTTTAGGTTTATCATTTATATCGTTAAATACTTTAAAGTCATGCATGTTTCAATGATCTTGATTAATAGTTATTGGAGGAACCACAGAGGTTACAACTCCATTTGTAGATGCAAGTATTATTCCACTTGAACAAACGATTGAATGATGATTAAACTTTTGTAAGGAATTGAAAATGTCTGAATAATTGACAAATATTTCATCATTTTTAAAGGTAAAAAGATCCCCAAATCCTTATCTTAGCTTCATTCGCATCATTCTCATTCTCAGTGTTTTTGTCGACTACGAATAATCTTTCATCATTTTCAATAAATGAAATAAAAAGGATGTTGTTTGCATATCAAATTCTTTCCTCCCAACCTTTAGTCCATTTTCCATTAAATAGATCGTAATACACCTATTACCATTATAGTATGCTAACAAATGACCATGCTTTGAAATGGAAAAAATAGAATTTTTCGCTTTTTTTAAAAGAGATATTTCAAATTTCAATTCTAAATCCATAGATTGTAAATCATACATCTCGAGTAATTGATATTTATAATCTTCAACAAATAAAAAATTTTGTTCAACTATAGAATTTAAAAAATTCGTACAAGCTGAGCCATGATATAATTTATCAATTTTCATTTGAATGTTTGTTGGAAATTCATATTCTTCCGCGACCAAAGATCTTTTAAATATTGATCGATCGATACCAGAAAGATTTTTATGATTGATGTTTGCTTTTGCAATACCAGAAGATTATATTAATGGATCCGTTCGATTGATCGGCTTCTTTTGCCGAATTGTTATTCAAAAATCGAACGACCCCACCGCGCTTGTCTACAGTAGTTTCGATACAGTCTTTTAATATTGTTGAATAAACATATGTTTCTGCTGGAATATCTATCCCAAACTCATCCCCCCTTTCAGCATCTGGGGGATTTATTGAAGTTTCTCTCAAACCATCATCATTATTTTCGGCAACTTTTTTCATATCTTTATCGCAAAAACGTGATATAGCTACGAATGCAACTAAATCATTTCCGACTTTTGCGTAATTGGAAATGGCCAAAGAAAAAGTTATGTGTTAAATTTCATTTTATCATAATTTATTTTCAAATGAAAATTAGATTTGAACTTTATTTCATGAGTTTCTAAGTTGTTAACTTCGTTTTTAATTTCTTGAAATTCAAAATTGTTAACGTCGTCGTTTTTGTTACATTTATAAGGTTTTAATTCTTTAACGTCGTAAATTATAATTTCATAAGTTTCTAAACATAAATCAGGCGAATGAATAAAACAAGTGACTAAATTAATAACTTAAACTGAAAAAGAAATATAAGTTTTTAAAATTCATACTAGCATTAAAAGTCGCAGCAAGAGCCCCATTCGAACTTATAGCTAAGTAAGTGGACGAACTATCATAATCCAATTCATATGAATCCGATCTTGAAGTATATATTAAACCTTTCTGTCATAACTGAAATGTTTAATCAGGATATAGGATAAACAGTATGCGCTCGTGAAGGGTATATTTATAAGAATTTCCAAAAAAAAAAAAAAAAATATAATTATGTTGATAATCTCGGTATCATTTGTATTTGACTGTTTATCATTTTAAGAATAATGTCGTTTTATCTATAAAAAAAAAAAAAAAAAAAAAAAAAAATATTCGTTCGTGATAATGATCGAATAAGGAAATTTAGAAAGCTTTTTTTGTGTGGCCAACGATATCTAAACATTTATGATACAACAAAAGTGAGTAGGATTTTCTTTGTCATCGAAAAATAACAATCACGATAAAAGCATTTAATTATTATTAATTATTTCTTTTTGAAAACCTCCCAGTGCAAAGCAACGGACTACAGCTAGTATGAAATAAATTTATTTGATTAGTGTAATCAAGTGATTTGTCGATCAATTAAAAAAAATTAAAAAAACACCTAGAAATATTTAAATAAGACTTAAAAAAATAAAAAAAAAAATGTAATATTATAACACAAAAATAAAGTTTACATTAAATATAACAAATTATATAATAAAATTAAACAATTTTTTCGTTTTATTATAGGAAAAATAAAAAATCCTTCGTGAAAAAAATTAACAATTATTGCATTTTCCTAAAAAATCAAAAATTTCATGTTAGAATGAATTATTATAAAAATGATAAAGACTCATCCAAAAAACTATTTCTCATTACTTAAAATATATTTTATAAAAAAAAGATAAATATAAGCTAAAATGAAGCTTATTTAGGAATTGCAACAGGAATCTTGCCAAAAATTGTAGTAATCGCTAAGGAATTATTTTGGAATTGCTAGAAAGTTAAGAATCATTTTATAAGCTAAAAGATACCTCTACATATTAAACCTCACTAATACACAAGGCTCAAATACTCTATGTTATAAAGGTTAATAAAAGTTAAAAAGTTTTGAAAAAACTGTTTTTTTAAAGTTTACTTTATTATTATAATTAATCAACAAAATCACCTGATCACACCATTTTGAAAATGTTAATTATAATAAATTGATTGAATAAACACGTGATGAGATTTATATTAATTTCAAATTAAAAATTATGTCAGTTTTCTTTAAAAATATATTTTAAAAAGTATTACATAAAAATATGATTTTTTTACACATTCCAAAAAAAATTTCAAATTTCCATTTTTTCCCATAACAAGCGACAACCCATCAGCAGGCTAAAAAAAAGTTGTAATGGTGACGAATCTTATTAACTTTTAATATTCTTTATTTTATTAGATATCAATAGTGAGGAAGAGCAAAGACAGTATATATTTATTTTTTCGAAATTTGATCTTTTATTTTTTTTATATTAATTTTAAATTAATAAAATATATTCACCACTACTGTTTCTTATAATTTAATAATATTCTTAAACTTCTACATATTTTTTTTAGTGCTTTTTATTAATATTGTCTATTTAGCTAAATGGAGTCTCTCAAGGAAAAAGATAAATTACTTTCTTTAATAAAGTTGTTATTTCCGTCAAATTCAAAGCATTTATTAAGAGCTTGTCATCATAAAAATTTTATCTTTTTTATTTAAAAATCGATTTTTTGTATATTACATAAAATCCAACTAAATAACAGAACTTTACAACCTAAGAGAATCTTCTACCTCCCATAAAATTACAAATACTTTTGTTGTTATAAGTTATATATTTGTATCTACTTGTAAGAAGATCTTAAAAAAACTTATTTTTAAAGCGAAATTTCGCGTAAAAGTAATCGCCCAAAAAGGAAAATCAATGGTTAGAATTTATTGAGCACATGATGATCAGCGTAAGATTTTTGTGATAAGTAAACTCATTTAATATGAAAATCGGCTTTTGATATTCTATTAATATAATAAATACATTATTATAAAAAGTAAATATAACGGCAATAAAATAAAATCTCTAGAAATTGCAAATTTATTGGGACTTTTAGGACCGCTTAACAAATTTCGATCTACTGATCGTCTTATCCACATGAAATACCGTATCCCAATACGTATTTATTATAATTACTATATTCATTACCATGCACGTGGTTTCAAATGAAATCGAATATTCAGAAACGTGAAAAATCAGAGTTTCTGAATAATATTTAACCATCAGTTTTACGTAATTTCAACTACAGTAAATCTACAAAATCCTAAAAATGGCGTTAATAGAGAAATGGATTGACCCAAAGATAAAAGAGGGTGACATTACTTATCTTAAATACGAGGAATTCAGTAAAATTAAACATATTACTGAAGGAGCATTTGGAAAAATAGACAGAGCTCACTGGAATAATGGCGACATAATAGTCGCGTTAAAATCGTTAAAATCTATTTCAACAAAGTCTGATATCGAAGAACAAACATTTCTTAAAGAGGTATAAATATAATATTCAGTTGCAGTAGAATGATTGATATATAATTTCACATTTATATTATTTACTACCTAGTTAAGAATCTTACGAAAAGTCAGTTCCCATCCTAACGTAAATAGATTTTTCGGGATCACAAAAGGTTAATAATTTCAAGTATAATTTAAAAGGAGTTCAACATTTTATTGAATGTTTCTTTTTTTTTCACTTATGATTGATTTACAAGATCCAAAATCAGATATTTATGCAATGGTATTGCAATACGTTAATCAAGGAGATTTGAGAGAATATTTAAAAAAGAATTTTCATAAACTTCTATGGAAAGATAAAATTCGGATGGCCTTGGATATTACTCGTGGATTAAAATATTTACATTCTGAAGATATCGTTCACGTGGATTTGGTAAAATTATTTATATTTCATTAAACTTAAATAAAATTTGTTTATATAATCCTAATATATATAGTATACCTTTTTAAAGCATTCAAAAAACATATTAGTCAATGATAGTCGATTAATGATTGCAGACTTTGGATTATCTAAACAATCAGGAGAAAGCTCCATAAATAGTAATTGTGATGGCATTACTGCGTATATTGATCCACAACGTTTCAAGAATAAAACTAAAAGAGATAAACGATCAGATATTTATAGTTTAGGTGTTTTATTGTGGGAAATTACGAGCGGTCACCCTCCTTTTCCAAAATTGGAAAAATTTCTATTATGGTATCAAATTAGTGATCTTGGTCTTAGAGAAGAACCGATTGAAAATACACCTTCGATGTATCAAAAACTTTATCAAGAATGTTGGGAAGATGATCCAGGAAAAAGACCAAATATTGAAGAAGTATATGAAAAATTAACACAACAAAAAATTAATAGTGATAATGAAATACGTGAAGCATTAGATGAAATCATTTGTGCTTATTTAAACGATCATAAACTTGGGTTGAAAAGTTTCAATGATGCATTAGAAAAATATGAGTCACAATCACATGACATCTTCGACCATCTATTTAATAATAAATCAATAACGCATTATGAAGTAATGGTTGGAGTATTTTATGGAAGAGGTTTTGGAACAGAAAAAGATGAAGCAAAATGTAAAGATTGGATTACAAAAGCAAGTGAAAATAATGATATTAATGGACATCATGAACTTGCAGGATGTTATTATTTCTTTAAGGAAAAATATGAAGAAGCAGTGAAATATTATCAGCGTGCCGTTGATGATGGATTGATTGTTTCTTCACATAGTCTTGCTTATTGTTATGAAAATAGTAAAGGTGTAAACAAAGATTTATCAAAGGCATTTGAATTATATAAAAGTTCAGCCGAGATGGGATATATACCTTCTCAAAAACTTGTTGCTGAATATTATAACAAGGTCAACCATGTTATCCAAATGAATAAAAGAGAAGCCCTAAAATGGTATAAATCGTATAAAGAAAATAATGGAAAAGATGATGTATCAAGTCATATTGAAGATATAGAACAATATTTGGTAAAATCATTTTCTTTCTGTTTCAGATTACAACAAAGAATCTTTACTAATAGATTTATATTTAATAAACAGGAACAAGAAAATATCTCCATCCGGAAAAGTGGATTTATAAATAAATTATCCCAGTGTTTCAAACATAAATATTTTTATTTTTATTGTACTTTAATAATCACAAGTATTTTATATACATACACGTTAATAAATTATACTAGGAAACGGGTACCGTTCTAGTCCGAAGCATAATCACGTCAACATTTTACGTAACACAAAATTTTAAGATTTGACGCTTGAACATGTAACGAAACGATATATTCTTCGTTATATTTTTCAAGATTTTGCTTATAACTACTTCTACCAATTGATTTATAATCTCATAGTTACCGATTTTTGATTCGTTTAAACTTTTTGATTCCTAATATCCTTATTTGTGAAAAATAAAAAATGTATTTTTTTTTATTTAATCATATCTTTTTTAACATGAACTTGTAGACATTAGTTTAATTTGTGAATTAAATGGGAAAACGAATAATATATATAAAAAAAAAAAGGAACTTCCGAATAAAATTAAAATCACATTCTGATGGTTAATTAATTACCCAAGAAACTTAGATCATCTAAAGGCACTCGATCTACATCTATTTCATATTGGGTTTCTTTCCTTTTTTTATATTTGTAAATTCCTATAGATGCCACAGTAACAATTATAACAATTATACTTCCTATAATTAAGAGTATTTCGAGTTTATTGTTGTTATGTTTTAGTGAAGTCCACTTAAATTTATTATTATCATTAATATCAAGAAGTAATATATCGCTTTCATCCTTTTGATCATAATTGGTTCCTATAAAGTAACAATAATAAAAAATATTAATTACGAATCAAACAATGTATAGCTTATAATTAAATTGGAATATTTACCGAATGAAATGACCATATACTTTCTGAACACATTAGCTTTATGATTATGACGAGATTTTGGAATTTTCCCAGAAACATTTGGAATATTCCATTGTAAACTGTTTATATTTAAAGTATAAAGTGAGTTTGACGGGTCAAATTCATTTAATTTTTCATTTCTTCCTCCAAATATTATGATTTGTTGACCATTCAATCCTAAAAATTTTTTTAAAAAAAGACAATATAAATAATTAAACGAAACCGAATGTTTCGTGTCCAAGAGTTTCTTTGGTCCACTTACTTACCAAGTACAGCAGAAAATCCATGCCTATTTGAAGGTATTGACCCTGTAGACAACTTTAAATGATAGACATATTAGTCATATATTAGTGCTGACCATAATAGTAATATCATTCATACCTTAACATCCCAATGATCATTATTAGTATCATATAAATAGACCTTTTAAAATTTAATCAATTAATTGTTAATTGTAAATAAAAATTTGCATGTAAATTGATAGTTTACTTCTCTTAATGAGTAAGAACCATTATTGGCATTCATGCCACCTAAGAAATAAATTGAATACATATTTATCATCATCTAAAAATAATTATGAGAATCTTAACTTACCTAAATAGATAATAGTTTGATTAGGTAAGAGGACGGCACCATAATTAATCCTTGGTGCAGGTGCCGATGAATCGGTTACATTTCTCCAACTTGTGTTTACTGTATCAAAAATAAGTATATCATTCACAATTCTACCATAATCAAACCGTCCACCAAATAAATACATTTTCCCGTTAGAATTTATTAAGCCCGATAAACTTCTCTTATGGGTATAATTTTCTGCTGTTGTTTTCCATGATTCACTTTCCGTATCAAACATATAAACTAAGTTCATATTTACATTAGTTTGAAAACTTCTTCCTCCGTATAAAATTAATGTCTTATTATCTACGCCTTTAATAGATGCAGCAGAAATATGTGGCGGAATGGGATTAATATTTGTTAAGTCCTTCCATTGATTTGTATCAAAAGAATTAGAAAGTATCAAGGTAAAAAAATTCTTTTCCGATAATATCACCATCAACGTCAGTTTCATCTATATCTTGTCCACCTAAAATGTATAGTTTATTATTAATGTATGTAGCAGAATGATGAATTCGTCGTTGTGGTTTTATTTCGCAATTTACTTCAATTAATCTTTGAATTATTAACCATATTATATTAAATATTAAATAATTCCTTGACATGATTTGGTAATGTTGGATTTTTATTAAAACAAAACATTTAAAAAACGTTAAAAAAACAAAAAAAATAAAAAAAGTTCAAAAATGTAAACAAAAAATAAATCATAGGTATTTATGGATTTTTAAAATGATGTATTTTATCTGTAAAAGTATATAACTTTATATTAGAGTAACGTTTTCGAAAATTAATAATGATTTATTTTTAATACATTTTTCGTTTTATTAATAATCAATTTATAGAATGAATCAATTTCATACAGAGTATTAAACTGTAATGTGATTTTATTCTGAAAGTTATGACTGATTCAGACGAAAATCAATTTTTTCAAATCAAATGATTATTTTTTGCTGATCACTTCGGTCTAAAGCTTCAAAAAAAATCACTTATTTTGATGAAAATAAAATGGAAAAAGTAACTAACTAAAAAATGTTATCTATTAGTATGCCAAGACTACAAATATAAAAATTTTAGATAATTGTATTACGAAATTATTGTAAAAAAAATTGGCATATCATGATCGAGTTGAAATAGTTTTTACAAGTTGTCTTCAATTTACTAAGTATTCTGGGGACTTGGAAATTATTTTGAGAGAAAAATGCTAATTGTCACAATTATATGTCACCCCTAATAAGTATGTGACCCGGCAAATAAAATCCGGCTACCATTTTTTACGGGCGACGCTAGGGCTGTTCACTATATAAAGTGACACCATCTATCAAAGATTGGATTTAGAAAATTCACTTAGAATTAAATACTGACAAAGTAACAGATGCAGATAATTGTAATAAACCGAAAGTTGAGAATTACAAAGAAAAATTTTAGGTGCATTAAAAATATTATATTAAAAAGTTTTGAATTCTAACTATTTGAATTATTTAGAGTTTTCGAGTCAAACTCTTACTTTTATAAATTCATATCAAACGTTACATGACATTACTAATATTTTACCAAATTTCTTCTAATTTGTTTATTAAAATAATGTTTTATAATAAAAATTTTTTATTGCAACCAAAGTATAATATTAGTTATTAGTTGAAAAATTTTAACCATACTGCAAAATATGATAATTTAACATATCATTCTTGCATGTCATTTTTTTAACCTTTTATAATTGATTTTAAATTATTTATTTATTTATTTATTAATTAAATACAAGAATTATTATCTTAACGTTTTAAATTGCTCGCTTTTTGTATTATTATACAAATTAAACAAGGTTAAAATCGGTCAAAATCAGTTACTCAACCAGTCGGTCAGAACTGACCAATATTGGTTACGGTTATGACCGATCCAAGTTTGAAGAAAAGACGCCAGCAATTGTGACAATAGAACATTTTTTAAAACCGTTTAAACATAAACGTTTGTATATTGAAAACTTATGTAACCGAATAATGATCATTAATTTGATTAAACATGAACATTTTCAGCTTTCATGTAGTCGAAGCTCCTTCATTTGGATTATTTATTACGTCAGGTAAAAAACGTCGATTATTTGTATTATTGAATTTATAGCGTTTTTTTGTGATAATGCCTGTTCATGATCTCAAAAGTAATTATGTCACATTAAAAAAAGCCTTCATACTTTTTTTTTTTAAAATTTTTAACAAAAAAAAAAAATTATAACAATTGAATTTTGATCTTACATTATATGTTGCAAGCCCATCAAAGCCCATCATTATTATTCTGGTCAGAAAAGAAAAACTGTTTCATGAGCAATGAATTATGTAAATTCAATTTTGAACTCAAAAAATATAAGAGCGGGCGCTTTCATTCGTTATGATTATCCATAATAATGTAGTATATATCTCAACGCATTTCGAAGATATACAGTGGTACCTGAAAATATCACGTGACTCTAACGTGACAAGATCAACCACTAAAATAAAATAAATCTAAAATGATCAACTTTGTTTGTCTTAACAATAATAAAATTTTCCCATAAACTCTTAGAAATAATTCCGTAAAATAATGTCAAAATGGAAATTTCTCAAAAACAACGTCAGCGTGAAGTAATATTACATTATTGGAACCAAGGAATATGTGCAGCAAGAGTAATTCAGCAAAAAACGGGCATTGGGCTCTCAACAAATCTATTACAACCTAAAAAAGTTAAAAGAAACAGGAATCGTAGCTCAGAAAATGGTCAAGGTCGGCCCAAAAAAATTACCATTCAGATGCATATACTATAGGGCAATGTATTAGACGAAATCCTAAAATTTCAATCAGTGATTTAGATAATAAATTAGCAGAAAAAGGTAAGAAGGTAGGAAGAGAGACAGTCCGAACCCATCTTCACACTTTTGGCTATAAGAATGCTCTCCCACTCGCAACCCCTATGCTTACAGAAAAACACAAGGAAAAAAGGGTAGAATAGGCCCAAAAACACTTAAACGATAATTGGAAAAAAAACCTTATTCACAGATGAGACATC